TCATAGATCACTTTACATAAGCTACCATTGTACTGGGTACTAAGCTTTTAATGACTAGTCGCATAATGAGGTGAAGTCCATTAAAGAACAGCAGAGGTAACCGATCACAGAGATAAGAGCTAAAAAATGATTTTCAGCCAACTAGAAGCAATTTATTATACACAAAAACACAGCTCTAACTGAAATGTCTGGATGGATGAGGAACTTTTAAAAGTTGACAGGTTTTCCTTCCTGGGAAAGTTTTACAAATATGATGGGAGCCCGTCTGTCGCATTTGATTTTTTTCTGTTGCCATTCAGTGCTCTAGAAACATGTTTTAAAAGGCTTAGCCATAGTACTGCATTGCATTATCCCACTTAAAAGATAAATTAGAACTCGGTGAGGATGATATAATGGGCACTTTTGCCCACCGCCAGTAAGCAAAGGATAGATGAAAGCAGGCTAATTGTTGCAAGTCAATTGCTATGGAATAGAGCCTAGTGTTTGAAGCTGCCTTAAGAAAATGGGTTCAGATCAGCATCTGTGGGACACTGAACTGAGTCTTGGGGAGAATTACAAAGCATCAGGGAATGTAGTAGTCCTTGTAGGGGCCCTGATTCTGCAGACACAAACTCCTCTCACACAAGTAGTCAATCCAGGCTAGATCAAAAAAAGGACTCAGGTGCCTAAAAGTTCAGTGCCTATACCTTGGAATGGAGTCAGGGATCCTGAATTGGGTGCCTTGGCTTCGTAAACAGTACAGAAGTAGAGCCAGATGCACCAGACTGGGATCAACAACAGCCAAAATGCTGAGCAGTGAACCACAGAAATGTCATATACTCAGCATGCGGACATCTGGTACTAAAGATAGTTAGGACAGAGGCAAGTCTCCAATCCCGCCACTTCCTCTGGGCTGGAAGGAGGTGCTGGAGATCCAACCTCAAAGTAAGCACCTATAGCCTTTCTGGCAAAAGCCAAGCAGACATCATTCTTTCTCAGCCTTGGCTGAAGAGGACAGGGGAGGTCTGAGGAGGAAGAGAAGCTGCCTCTATAGATTAGAAGACCTTCTCGATGAAACAAGACTCACATTTAGTTCCTTCCTCTGTCTGAGAGGACTCAGATGCACAAGTGTCTTAAACACCATGGTAGCAGATTGCTCCTGAGGGAAGGGGCCACTCTTCACCCCTTCTGGTGAAGCTGTAGGAGAATTCAAGATTCACTGAACTGGACAGTAAGAGAAAGAATAGGGCAGAGCGTGACTTGGCCATAGCATCCAGTTGGGTGGGAGAGGTCTGCAGAACCATTCCTCCAAGGACTATTATCAATACTGGATAAGCTTGCTCATATAAATCAGGCACCATCCCCTTCACCTTGTGCTGCCATGTTCTGAAAAAAAGTCATTGAAGCCTGCTAGGTTGGACACCTTCCTCCATATGGATTCAGGATCCTACCTGGCTTAGAAGTTAATCACTTGGCTATACAGACTGCACCACCTTGGGTCATGCACAGAAGCAGCAGTCTGGATCTAGCTCTTGATTACTGGAGAATTTAGGCCTGATCCAAAGCCCACTGAAATCATGCATTGACTTTCATGGATTCTGGACAAGGCCCTTAAAAGTCAGCTGCAAAGACTGGATCAGTGTTCTCATTAAAGAATACTTTAAAAACAATAGGCTGGTGAGGTTGCTTGCTTCTCAAGGATACATGTGACCTTTAGTTATTCCAATAATTTCTCTTCTAGTCTTGGACCATTTTTTAAGGATAACTTGGTTAGATTTCCAGTCTGCTTATTGTATTGTTATTTCAGTTGTGTAAATACTATCCTATTTACTGTGTCAAACTGTTTGTGCCTAATACAATTATATGCTTTTTTGCTGATATCTGATGTGCTAATTAGCTGGAAAAATGTTTTGATTGGGGTGACTGATTGCCCAAATTATTTAATGGTCCCATGGCAAGGCTGTCAGCAAAAAATATGGAAATGAGCCTAGGAAGGTCAGTAAAATTTCACACTAATAGCGCTTCAGGTTAGGGTTAGATCGAGATGAATGTAGAAATAGGCCATGGAATGTGGAGAATGCAGGGAAAGAAACTGCTTTTTGTTTTTGCATTAATTTTAATAAAATAACAATGTCACTAATTGCTTACTTAGCCCCTTTTCATCCATAGATCTCAGAGGAGTCATTACCTCCGGGAAAACTTCAGGAAAGGGAGAGAGAAATTTGTTTAAGATCACCTTGTAGGTTGCTGCAAGGAACAGATGTTATGTCTCTTGGTTCCCAGCCCTGTACCCTGTCCACAGAACTATGCCTCTTCTAGAGCTAGTCTATTTTTTTTGTTGTGTTCCTTAGCTTGCTACCCAACTCCTCTGAATTTATTGGTATTTACTGAAGATGGGCCATGGTGGCAGGAAGCTGTAAGGAATTTCTCAGCTAGTTTCTTTCTAACCCTGCACAAACATTGCTTGGCATTTTTTCTAATTCAAAATTTGCAGTTTCAGAATGACTTGTTTTTGTTTGAAATGTTTTTGACTTATTTTTTAAAAATTGTCTTGCCTCAGTCGTGACACCTGGATTGAGACGTAGATCCAACATTTACCATCATAAAGATGCTTCTTATGCTCATTACCAGAGGCAGCAAGGGGCACATCACTTTAGGTGGTGAGCTTGTCAGAGCTATTGGACTAGGCTTGAGGGTAACCTAGGTGAAACCTCCAAGAAAAATCCCTGTTTGGCACAGCAAGGGCTAAGTCAGTTGGTGGTTATCTTCCTCTGTGTCACTACTGCTGCTTTTGGACGTGCACCTTTTCAGATGAGACACAAAGCTGAGATCGCAATCACTTACCCTCATTAAGGATTCCATGGCAATTTGTGCAAAAGAAGGTCATGGTGCCCTGGCCTCCATGACAACAAAGGAAATTATATTTCCCTGCCTTGGATTCCCCTGCAGTTTGCTGGATTTACTATACTTTATTCATTTCCTCCATTAAGATGTTATGCACATCTCAGTACACATTGCACCATGCAGAGGGAGGGGAAAGAACTTCCCTGTTTCAGTGCTAGCAGTTAGTGTTTCCTAAGGGACAGTCTCTTTCGGGTCTTCTGTATGCCCACCCTGTACCAGACAGTTCAGATCTCCCTATCCAGAAATAATATGTTGTTCTTCCTGGGGTTTACACACCTCTTCCAAATCCACCCCCACCCACCTGGATCTGTCAGCCTATCGATAGACATTCCAGAACAGAAAAAGACCACAGTATCTGAAAGAAATGTAGCAGAAAGCAGGGGCTGTGAGACCTCCAGTCTCCCCATCTGCACCAATTAGACAATGCTTTAACTTGCAAATCATTTCTCAGGGTGATACATATAATGTCTGTTTAGCTGTGATGCTTTTTCTATTTTTAGCATATTTTACTAACTACAATGTACTTTGGTCTAAAACAAAATACAGTGGAGCTTTAGAAGGTTTCCTCTACCTCTCCTTTTTAAGCACAGTATTTTCTCCATATTCATTTTTAGGATTTCAGGACCAGGGACACTAGAGCCTGCTACAGTATATCATTTTCAACCAAGCAGTTGTTTGTGCCTATTATTTTACCCAACAGACATTTCTCTTTCCCTTGGTATATTCATTACTAAATAATCTGTGAGAAGATACAGGCCACTGATTTTTTGCAATTTGCATCACCACACTCTAAGTTATGTTGAAAGCTAAGCTTTTTGGTCCTCTTGCTTTAGAAGTACATTAATATTTCTATGACCTTTACTAGATGGCAGATGAGAAGCATTAGGAATAAAATAACAAGCAAACTAAAGGAAACCAATATTTTGAAATGTATATTTTTGATCCTGGCTTTGAAAGGAGCAAGAGGGAGAAGAAAGTACTCTGAAAAGACCATAAACTTTACTTAAAGAAGGAATAAGTATTCCTCTGTAGCCTATTTGCTCATGTTGAAACATTTCTTTATGATCTATGACATGCAATATCCGATCAAATATATTTATGAGTTGTTCTCTGGTCATCTGTTTGCAAAATCTATGGGGATTTAAAATAAACAAAAAAAAATAGTATAATTTACACAATGGTTATTTACCATATACATTCCGTTGCAATATTAAAAGCATGGTCACAATATAATGGCAAGTATTTTGTATCCAGTGACTTTAGGTTAATTCATTTTCAAAGCCTGCATATTAAATAGTAATGCTGTAACCAGAAGTTGAGTGGAAAGGCTTTTCTTTGAGAGACCTAAAATATCAGTTTTAAATTATTATTTTAAAAGAAAACCAGCATAATTCTATCCAGGAAACTGCCTTCTTTCAGCAGAATTGTTTTTAGTGGTTTAACTGCACACCGGAAGCTAAATCTGTTCCTGTTCATGTAGGTATCAGTGCCACAGCTAAAAGGAACAGGCCCAAGAATGACTTTTTCGTGACTTGAAATTTCACTGTTTTATGAGCAACATGCATAGATAAAGGCCCTGATTCGGCAAGGTGCTGAAACATATGCAGAACATTAGGCTTATAAGCAGTCCCATTAACTCCAGCAGTTTGCTGAACTGAGTCTAATTGGAGCTAGAATTGTGATTACTTAACAGTAAGTTTCATTTGCATGTTTATACCATGTGACTACAAATGCATCAAGTCAAAGGACATAGTGTTAAATCTCTACTTTGGACTCTGCATAGGAATTGGCTTTTCCAAGAAAGGAAAAAGAAATGTTGAAAACAGTACAGAATATACACTCTTATTTCAGCAAGGATCAAACTGAATTGGTTAGATGTACTTTTGGCTCAATAGATACATTGTCAACCACACAACCTGGTCTCACTGAAGTCACAGAGTATTATATTGTGTTTCACCTTTTTGTTTATTTTTAGAAAGGTATGTTATTAATATAGAGATTGCCTGTGATGCCTAATTTAAAAGGGCACTATCAGGTTGTTTTGGGTCCCAAGTTTAGATTTCATCAAAATAAAAAATTAGAGGAAGTGGTTCATAGACAAAACAGAAATGCATTCCTAAGTTTTTAAAAATTTCTTTCCAAGTCAAGGAAGAGATCTGAGGTTGGATGTAAACATACCTTTGCAGTGTTACAGATCAAGTATTAGACTGGTCTACTCTTAGTTAAGGTATTACAGAAAATGAAAGCGACTGTGCTTCAAAAAATAAACTGACTGTTTTATTCCCGTTGAAATGTACACTACATATTTCTTGGGGGAAATGGTATCTCTGCTCATCCCACTCAATTGCCTCCCTCCACCCCACAGGACATTGCATGGCTGACATTTGTACAGCAAACTAAGGGATGTGGATGTCCAGTTGCAGTTATATGGCAACTAGGTGTCCAAACTCCCTATGCTGCTGGTCAAGTGCCAAGCTAGAAATCTCTTGTGCCTTACTTTAGAAATGTCAGGAATGAAATGTGCTGTAAGAATGAAGAACACCAGTCTGATTTGTGAAGCCACAGGGCTGGGAGTCAGGAGGCCTGGATTCTTTCCCCTGCTTTGCAAATGTTTTATGTTTTGGACTGATTTTCTATTTGGTTCAGATTCTCCATGTGGGTTTTTCTGCCACTTTATGCCTACTTGCAAAATACACAGGTCAGAGAAGCCAGTTGTGAGCAAATTATCCCTCATAGATATACTCCATACCTACACTGCCTGGTATCAGGGACCAACCTGGGTACTGATGTTGATGGGCTCACAGTGTTGCACCATTCATTGGGAGCCCAGAATGGCCCATGGTAACCTAGCACCTGCCCCTTTGGGCTCCTAAATTATGATGGAGGCTACTCCAGACCTTGGAGCAAAGGTCTGATAATCCAGTAAAGCCACATTTGCCCTCCAACCTTCACAGCTGCAAGCTCCACAAGGCATCTCCAAGGGCTTATCCACACTGCCAGGAAACATCCATTACTCCTGCTCTACATACTCTGCGTCCAGGAAATGACACAGTGGGCACAGCTACACGTGATGCTACATCACCATAGTGATGAGCTACGGCAATGTAGCTTGTCACTACAGTGATGTAGCATCAGTAGGCACAAATCTGAATGATATTTATGGGTAGTTTGCTGTTGCATCAGCTTCTGTCTTACCTAATATGATGCAGGCCAGTCCAGTAAGCAAATTTCAGGCTTTTATTTTGTGGTTCCTTTTACTTCCTCAAAGATTTCAGCCATAAGCAACAGTAAGTCATAAATACAAGTATAATAATAACATGTAATAAGGACTACCACAAACACCCACTTCTATATTCTTTTTTCTTTTGTTCCATATTTAAAATATGCACACACTTCACACATTTCCTTCCTCTTCCCCAGTCCCACAGAGGCTCTTGATTAGTCTAGTAAAGGAGTGGTTCTTTTAAACTTGAATTGTTTCTTGTTCTATCTTATTGAAAGAATTTTGAGGATAAACTGGAGTGAGCATTTGTGACAAAGGCCCCTGGTGATTAAACTGAGATGAGCCTCCATGCTTGGAGATGTACCTGCAATTACAAAACACAAGGAAACCTCTTTTAGGAAAACTGTGTTTGTATTGCCCAAAAATACATTATTCTCTCACATTTCTTCCTGGTGGCTTTGGAGAAAGTCTGTTCAGTCATGGAAGCCCCATAAGGCCTATATGAGAACCAGCCTGTTCCCTGGTAGGGTCAGGAGACTGAACAGAATTGTGTGTGGTTGTTTTCCCTCTGGACAAGTCTCAAGTAAAGAGCTCTGTTGTATTAAACCAGCAAAGATGAAAGGATGGGACCAGATCTGATCACAACTGTCAGTGAGGGAATTCTTCTGGCATGAGAGAACTCCTTGCATGTGGATGAAGCTGCTGTACCAGATGTCCCCTACTCCAGGTATTCAGAGATTTTGTGGGGAGGTAGGAGGCAGGTTGATGGAATTCGTTGATGGTTGAAAGAATTAGTCTATGTGAAAATATAGGAGCTAAAGTCCACCCCCATTTACATTTGTTTACCACCACTGACTTCGCTGGGTGTTTTTTTTTTTAATGTTACTGTTTTTTCACCTCTTCTATGCACACATTTCCCAAAACAAATGGATCTCTCCTATCTAAAAATCCCCCTCCTAAAGCCTCATGTGATAAAAGTGGTACAACAGCCTGCTGAGGGAAGCCAGCTCTTTTCCCCAAAACTAATATAATGGATGTGTTAGTTACAGCCATTTTAATAGGCAAGTACTTATGCTAATTAGCTCTACACCATGTAAATATGGCTATGCCTGTCTGGTTTCAGGCCAGTGCACAGGAGACAGGGTGAGGAGGTGTGCACAGGAGGCTGTCTGTGAGGCAGCCATGGGATGTATTAGTGGGAGGGTGTGGACACAGCTGAAAACAAGGGGACATGAAGTTGGGGTTTGGAGGTGGGCTTGGGATTGTGCAAGAGGCTGGAGGTAGGTCATAGAATCAGAAATGTTTGAGAAGCACTGTACTAAAGGACTCTGAAACCTGCCCATCTTTCTATCACCCATTATCAGAGTGTCTGAAAACCAGATAAAATAATAATAATACTTTATGTATCTAAGAAAAATATTCATACTTCATAGTTTCATAGTTTCATAGATTTAGGGTCGGAAGGGACCTAGTAGATCTTCTAGCCCGACCCCCTGCCAGGGCGGGAGAACAACAAAACCCCAACACAAAAACGGGACTCAAATGAGTCCAGCCAGGTAGGCAGCCAGCCTCTTCTTAAAGACCCCCAGGGTAGGGGCCAGCACCACTTCCCTTGGAAGTTGGTTCCAGCTCCTAGCCGCCCTAACTGTGAAGTAGTTTTTGCGGATGTCCA